TTCTAGTACTCTGGGGAGTGCTGCGGCAGGAAGATCGCAAGTTCAAGCCTAGTCTGGGCAACATACTGACGTAGCAAGTCTCCTTTTCAAAATTAAAAACACAAAAAAGGGGCTGAGGTTGTAGCTCAGTGTAAAAGCCCTAGGTTCAACCCCTAGTATCACAGGAAACAGAAGGGTGAGAAGGAACAAAGGACACAGGAGCTGTCCGCCAAGGCTATCTGTCCAGGTTTTCTTGTCCAGAGCTATGAGCAGCCAGGCCAACCCAGGACAGCCTGGCCACATCCCACTAGACACTTCTATGGCCCCTGTACCTGCTGGCTCATTTGCCTGTGGTCCTCAGACCAAGCTTGTCCTTCTTTCCCATGAAACCCAGGACGCCTTCCTCTGACATTTCCTCCTCAGCCTCCACCAAAATTGACCCAGGTAAAGTAAGAGGCTTGGTCTCCAGTCAGAGAGCATTATGAGTCACACTGCCCTCCCACCCTCTGATTTTCAGGAAAGGAAAGAAATCTCCTCATTGCATGCATTAGGAAAGCCAGTCCTGAAACTCCTTAGGTTGCTTGGTCAGGAGTCCTTTCCTGGAATGATAAATGCTGCTGTTCCTGCTCCTGGGAGCTTTCCCTGTGTCCCCAAGTCTGAACTATCTGTGTTATTTATTCATCAAATCAACAAACAAACACGCAGGGATCTGCCACACAGCAGACACTACCAGGCAAGGGGGATGTAGGAGGCAGCGAGAGAGTCACCCCCTTCAAGAAGAATATCACCTAGTGGGAACAGGGAAACCAAACCCACATACCAATAGATTTGTCATCAATGTCCTAACAAAGGAGTGAGCCCAACTTTGTATGTTAGTTAGCTTTCCATCCCTATGACAAAATACCTGAGATAATCAATTTGTAAGGAGAAAAGTTTCATTTTGGTTTATGGTTTTAGAAATTTCTATCCATAACTACTTAGGGTCATTGCTTTGGACCTAAAGTAGGGAGCATATGGTAAAGCTGCTCACCCTCTGGTGGTCAGAAAGCAGAAGGGGGCTGGTGAGATGGCTCAGTGGTCTAAAACACCTACTTAGAACAAGCTTAGCAAAGCACAGGGACAGCGGTTCAATCCCCCAGCACCACATGCCAGCCAGCCCCGCCCCCTGGTGG